GGTTGTTGTGGGCGTGGTCAGCCTCAGGCTGCCGCTCTGCTATGGTGGAGCCAGGCTGGAGGGGGAACAGGTGGGGGGCTGTTTATCGCAGTGAGGGATCTCAGAGCTGCACTGCTGCCTAGGAGATTATGGCGCCCAGAGTTCCCCAGGACTCCCAGCTGCTGGGCTGTGTGCTCCGGGACGTTTCTGTCCAGCTGTGAGGCCTCTGTCCCTTTAAGTCTTTCTAAAAGCACTTGCTTCTTTGTCCCAGGGGTGTCAGCAGGCTGCGCGGACCCGCTCGCAAGTTTTACTGTCCCATTTCCCTAGTATCCAGCACCCCACGCACACACTGTGTGTCTGCGCTCCCAGTGCAGGTAGCTAGGGCTGGGTGTTTAGCAGTCCTGGGCTCCCTCTCCCTCCCCGCTCCAGACTCCTCTCCTCCTGCCAGGAGCTGGGGGGAGGAGCACGCTCAGGTCCCGCCAGGCTGCGGCTTGTCTCTTACCCCCTCGGTGAGGCACTGGGTTCTCGCAGGTGTAGATGTAGTCTGGTTGTTGTCCTGTATTTTCTGGTCTCTCTTTTAGGGGTAGTTGTATTTGTTGTATTTTCAAAAATGTATATGTTTTTGGGAGGAGATTCCCTTTGTCCTACTCATGCCACCATCTTGGCTCCACGCTTCTCTTTTACCTATTTTTTCTATTGGTTCTTTCTGCAAAGTCAGGTTTCCTCATGTGCCAGGTATTGTGTTTTGTTTTCCAAATTGTAGGAGTAATTTGAGGCTCTGTAAGATTTTATCTTCCTCCAGAGATGATTTTCATTTACTTCGGCCAGGAATCTGTGAACATTAGCAGTCTGGAATTATCTTAATACAGTTTAAAGGACGGATTTTCCAGGCCACCAGGTGCTCTAAAACTAGGTTGCAGTTTATGTGGGAAATGGTTTTATTCCTCTGCTTTCTCCCCACCTCCCCAAAGCTGTCAAAGCACTACTTAACCTTTCAGCCAGCTCATCTAGATGAACAAATATCCCCAGGGTAAAAAGTAGTTCCAGGTGCCAACCTCACCAATATGAATTTCCTTTTTTGGATCTGGGCCAGGTAATTCGTCATTATCTTATGAATTCCCTGACACTTCCCTGAAGATTTATTCCTATTATTTTGTTATTAATAATTTCTAGCTATTCTACTTGTCTTCAGTAGGAAAGTTGGTCTAAATTTCTGCCTGCTGTTAGAGAAGTCCCATCATTTGATTCTTTATTTTTTCTCATTTCTCATGCTCCATCAACATGAGAAAGTCTTTTTGGTTCCTTCTTTAAATATTCCCTGAACTCAATCATTTCTCCTATCTCCACTGTATTGGATTAGGAAAAAGTGAGAGAGGATTAAGTTATGAATTCAAAAGCATGGCTTTAAAAAATAAATCACCATATCATTTAACTTGTGAGCAGCAGCTAAAAGAAACAGGTATCAGAAGCTGAAGAGCCCTTATGTTTGACAGCTGCTCTATTTTATCACAACTTTCTTTAATCTGTTCTATTAAAATGTTAATTTTTGGTCACTTTTAGCATTGGTTATGTTAATGAACCATAAAAGCTCAGATATTCCATATATCAAATTTAATAATCTTAAAAGTCCAAAGTCCTAACTACATTATGACATTTTTTCTTGAGATAATTCATGCTGCATTTTCATCTATTTAAATTATATTGCTATGAATATCTTCCTATGAATGACCTTTCTTTTTTATATGCTTTACTTCTTACTAATTTACTATGCTGCCAATAATTTTGCAGTGGTTCAATATGATTTGAAAGTGTGTGTAGGGGAATTTTCTATAGAATACCGTTATGAGTATCTCACCTTTGGAAAAGAAAAAAGGTTATGAGACTGTTAAAAGTGTTTAGATGTTGAGGCTCTGTACTGAGAAAAGGAAGTAGATAAGATCTTTTTTTGATTTTGTGCTTCCATTTTACTTGGCTGAGCATGATAAAGCAATCAGACCTGTAAGAAGTAGTGCCCTTGCTTCTAACAAATTTGTCCTAAGAGTGTATAAACCAGTTACAACTTAACGCCTGTCGGTGACATCAACCCTGGGGAGAGTGAACCTGAGATGAGCTTTTCTACCATAAGTTCATCTGTAAACCCAAATATTTTTAAATGAAAACCACAGAACCAACCGTAGTAGGAACACAAGCAACCCTGAACTCTAATTGAACTCTAATTAGTTAAATTTAGAAGTTTAAGAATGTCACAGTTTTTATCCTAGTTTTGAGTAGCTGGAAAGGTTGTGGCCCCTAAAGTTGAACCTCCTGGGTTCAAACTTCAATTCTGCCACTTTGTTTTTTGTTACTGTATTTTTTTCTTCTGTTCTAGAATGCCTATTTGATTCTTTTTTCAAATCTGCTACCATTTTTCTAATTTCTAGTTCTCCATCAAACCTTTGGTTTTGTCATTTGTCTCCTTGAACATAGAAAGAAGTCTCTGTCTGATATCTCCAGTATTTAGAGTGGCTGATCGGGAGACACCTCCATCGAGAGGGAGGATGTCCTGATCATTAAAATGTCTTGGGAGATACTTCTGGAAGAGAGCGGTGAGAGCAACAATGTGAAGAGTAGGCTGCTTTTATCTTTGTCCACTTGCATATTTATTAAAGTTTTAAAAATGTTTCTTTATTCTTTTCTTGTGTCCAGTGCTGCTACCCAGGACATTTGGTCTGGCTTTTATTGCTTGGTGGTTGACCTGCACTTATCCTCTGGAAAGTTTTAGCATTTTGGACTTGTTTCTTTAAAATGTTAATTTAGTATGTCTAGGTATATAATTTCTCTCATCTGTTCTGTTGCATGAGCCCTTTCAAACAGGTCTTACATCTTCCATTCTGGAAATTTTCTGTAATTGCTTTTTCAAATACCAACTACCCTCCATGTATGTTACAATGACTCCAGTAGTACAGATATTAACATTTCCTCTTCTATCCCCAGGCTCTTAAACTTTTATTGTTCATCTTATTTACCCCTTCCTAATGCTTTCTTAGAATATTCTCCAACTTGGTTGTCCAGGTCACTATTTTGTTCTTTGGCTGTATTCATTCTGTTATTCAATTATCAAACCCACTTATCCAGATCTTCACTTCAAAAATAATTTACTGATATCTATTATCACCACTTGGTTCTTCTTTGAAGCTTCCTGTTTAATATTTTCCATATTTTCCCTATGTCTCTAAGGATATTTACTATTTTTATTTTAAATTCTGTGTCCACAAGATCCATTCCCTCTGATTATTTATGAATGATTTATTTTGCTTGTTGTTTGGCTTTTGGATTCACACTGTGTTTGTGAGCTCATATTATCAAGGTAAAACTAGTCACGTCGGCAAATAATAGACACTCAGGGAGAAGAATGAAAGCCTAGGCTTGTCCTACTTCAGGCAGTGGAGGGAGTATATCACAGCATGAAGGCCCTCTGTACATTTTGGGCCCCATCACTGCTCCTGTGCCCTCACCCACAAGATCCTGCCTATCAGGTAACTTGCCTAGTAACTACCCCACACATTACTCTTTCCTAAACGTAATCACAAAAAATATTTTTGTAATTTATTGTCCAGCCCATGAAGGAGGGTGAGTAAAGAGGTTGGAGAAAATGTTCCAGGACCTAGCTGCCCTCAACTCCAGCTAAATAGCCCAGGGCTCACCTAGTCAATGTAGGATCTCCCAAGTCTTACCAATTCGATCGCTAACATTCACTGCGCTGCCCCCTAGAGGCCCCGTACTTTATTAGAGGTAGGGACCCAGCAGCTTTGATTCTTATCTTCTTCAACATGACGAATTCTAGTTCTGCCATATTCTAGGACTAGAGCAGGTTTGTCCCACTTTTTTCAAAAATCTACAGAGAAACACTTGTATCTAGAGCACAACCTGGAATATAATTTTCCTACAAGCATATGATCTCATAATAAGTATGGATGAAAAACTCACCTAAAAATTTTTTACCTTTTGATCTGTGTACAGGAAAGATGACAAAGCAGTCCTCTGACTGCTATCTTTAGAAAGGCTTGCTTTTAAGATAGGCCCTTGGCTGGTATCTGGGACCTTGACTGGAAAACTTTCCCTAAAGATAACAGTGATGCACTGTTCCTATACTGTTTCTACAATGCTTTTTATGCTGACAGCCTGCTTTCCTTCTGGGAATCTGGAATTTTCAGTGACTATAGTCACACACAGTACTGTGTACCTATATGATCAACCTGAGATAAAAATGCTGGAATCCTAGGCTCAGGCAAGTGTTCCTAGTAGACATTCCACCTGTATTATAGCTCATTGCTGGCAGAATTAAGTGCATCCTGTGCAATCCCCTGTCCACTGGGAGAGGACTCGTAGAGCTTGTGTCTGGTTTTCTCCAGACTTCCCCTCAAATGCCTTCTCCTTTACCAGTTCTTCTCTGTATCCTTTCACTGTAATAAATCACAGCCATGAGCACCACCATATCCTGAGTCCTGAGAGCCTTCCCAGTGAATCGCCATATTTGGGGAGTGGTTTTGGGGGTCCCTGACACAATCTTCCCATGAGTAGATTATAGCTACTGAATGTATCTCAACATCTCTGCCTCTGGAATTCCATCTCATCTATTCTGGGTGCCAGAAAGCACCCAGTGAATAAGGCACTGAAGATACAAATTACAGGCATACTACAAAGTAAACCTGCCTATCAAAATAACCTTGCCTAATAGGTAATAAGAATTAAAATGTTAGTGAAGTTATCAGTCGGAACAGCAAAATCCATGTTTTTCCAACCAAAAAAAAAAACACCCCTAACTATATAAAAACACAAGTCAAAGAGTGTTCTAAAATATTTTAACAGCATTAGTATAGCAAAGAGTTCAGATACACAATTGTGAATGAGAAAAATTGACTACATAAAACAACTGTTTTTCTCTCTATTGAGAAAAACAACCTTGAAGAAAGTGAAGCTCTATACTCTTCCTCCTCCAAATTATTCTAAGAACTCACCTCCTACACAGAAGCCCTGTCTGGTATTTAATCGCCACATCTCTTTGGAGGAATCTGTTATTACACCAGGCACAACGTTAAAAGAAGGCTCCAAAAGCTTCTCTGAAAACCTCGCTGAAAGAAGAAAACCTCTTTGAAGTTAAAGATAGCCTCTAAAGGTACATTAATGAATTATGAATTATAAAGTGGAACTAAAGGATTTGATGAACTCCAAAGAAGAGGATCATAAGAAATATGTCTCTGTTGCTTCTTGAATGATAGTAACATAATACATTTCAAGAATAACAATTTATAATCTAATTATAAAACGAGGTGGACAAGTCATATATCATGATGCATGTGTGTGCCATAAATTTGTGTCAACCTGTTAGGTGATATCTAACGTAAATTTTTTTAATGAGCTGTTTCACAGAAAACTTGGGAAAAATTAATTAAATGCATTTTGAAGTTAAAGCATTAATTCAAACACATTATTATAATTTAAGCAATTTAAGTTACACATGTTAAGTTCTCCCATGTTACTCTCATTCATATAATGCCTCTTCCTTCTTCCTTTTCCCCAGTGTTTTCTTCCTAGTACAAAAGTTTGAGGTTCTAATTGGATTGGGACCACATTTTTCTCATATTTTATTCCCAACACCCAGATCAATTCCTGGCATTGCAAACTCAATAAATGTTAATTACTGGTGTTAAAACTTGGCAAGAAGTGTGATAGGAAAAGATCTTGTTAATTTGGACCCTGAGACATAACCCATTACCTCTCTGCATCTAAAAGTAAGTTTGCCTATAATATCTGCCCTTCTTTCTGTTCAGAGCATGCAAACCACTTCTAACTTAAGATGAGAGTTAATCTATGTGCATGTTGTGTTCTGCCTACCTACCTAGGCCTACAATGTTTGCCTTCTTCATGTCTTAGATTCACAAAACTTGACACCTATAGAACTAGGATATAAATTGAGATCACTCAGAACGTCATGGCTATTCATTACAGACACAGACATCACTGAAGGAACAATGAGATGATCCTGTCCAAATATTAAGATCCCATCAGTGTTTTACCTATTTTCCTCCCATTCTCATCAGATGAACATGACTGAGTATAACTAAGACATTTAGGTCAGACAGATTTTAGCAATAAAAGCTGATTCTAAGATTTGTGCATAAAGGGTGCAATACCTTCCCAAGTCATAACAAATAGTAAAACCTTGTAAACTTTGTGGTAAACTACCTTCTAAACTGTCAAACATAAAGCACTTTTTCTCAGGAGGAGGACCACAAACACATCCTGAATTCTGTTGATTTTCACAATGTAACTGGATTACTGACTTTACCAAAGATTATGCATATCCACTGAATGAGGAAATATCCTGAGTAGAAGGGAGACTCTTAACTCCCAGAAGTCCAAGTGTTACAGTAAAGGAAAAAAATATTTTGGCCTGCTTAGCCTGCCGGGCCAGGTTATTATCAAAGTCCTTGTTACTGTATGTTAATTTCTCTATGACATTCATTCAAGAATTGCCCTGATTAGTCACTGAACAACCTGGGGAATCACTTAAGAGGCCATGAGTTAAGGTTGCTGTGCTGTTTGCTGCTGTTTTTGAAGTCCTATCCTTTTTTAAGTAGGAACATCTTTCAGTTTATTCATATTCTCATGATACTTGTAACTCCCATTCTAGCACTGACCCGTTTGAATGGCTTTGAGAAGAAACTTTTGAAGTAATATGTCCTTATGTAACTTCCATGAAACAATTCTGGAACACCTGTTACAAATATGCTTTTGCTTTCATTCTGTGAGAAATCTCTAAAATTTAATGGTATTTACTGAAGCTATAGAGGCGGCTGAAATATGAAGTGTCCCTCCCCTGAAAATCAGGTACTGTTTCAGTATTTCTCACCAGTCTTTCGTCGTTGGAAGTGTTTTTCCTAGTAATGTGTCCGTCAACGTCAAGGATCCGTGAGACAACCAGAAACTATGAATAGTAATTAGGGCCTGAGATCCACCATAGCTTCACACCTTTTCTCCTTCGTTTGAAACTCAGCCAGGTATGTTTTTTCACCTTTAGAAGCCGTTAAACAGCCTCCTCACAACGACATACAAGTCAAACGCACAGTCATCAGTGCCAAAGTGTGAAAAGCACCCAGTGGGTTTTTCCCTGTCAAGGGGTAAAGTCTCCCTCCGACTCACTGAACGCGAAGAGCTTCGGGATAACGAATGAGGCCAGAAGACTACAATTCCCAGCAGGCATAGCGAGATCGGGTCACGCACGCGCAGCCAGGCCGTGGGAATTAGTCCGCGAAGGGGGTTCTGGGAGGGAAATGGGAGCAGCAGTGCTGCGGCTCGCTGTCGGCAAGCTTCCCGATGGGCCGGCGGCGCTGTGGCGCGCGAGCCGAGCCTACAGCACATCGCAAGCTTTCGCGGAGGTTCTACGGCTGCCACGGAGGCAGCTGACGAAGCTCGTGTTCCCGCTGCAGGAGCTCGAGCGGCAGCTTGTCGCGGACTCTAGGCCCAACCTTCACCTGAAGATCTTCGACCCGGGCCTGGAGGACATCGGGAAGGCGGAGAGCATCTTCACGGCCACTGCGCAGAACCGCATCGAGTACCTCAGCTCCGCCGTGCGTCTCGACCACGCCCCGGACCTCCCCAGACCCGAGGTGCGAGCCCCAGCTGCCAGCGAGTCGTGGAGGCCTCGGCAGGGATCTTGTTATCACCTCTTTCTTGTCATCGAACAAGACATATTTTCGAGTTGTGTGTGGACGCATATATGATTATTATCATCTTTTGCCTGTTTAAATGAAGTATGGAAAACATGCCGCGACAAATTAGACAAAGTGAAGAACCTGAAAAGTATAATAGTTTTACAATGAAGCGATCTTTTCAATATGTAATTTTCTCCCAATCTAAATTTACTACCAAGTGCAAAACTAATTATTATATATAGATGGCAACAATACAGATTTTTTTAAAAACTTCAGTCAATTGCTGCTGTTTTTGAAGTCCTATCCTTTTTTAAGTAGGAACATCTTTCAGTTTATTCATATTCTCATGATACTTGTAACTCCCATTCTAGCACTGACCCGTTTGAATGGCTTTGAGAAGAAACTTTTGAAGTAATATGTCCTTATGTAACTTCCATGAAACAATTCTGGAACACCTGTTACAAATATGCTTTTGCTTTCATTCTGTGAGAAATCTCTAAAATTTAATGGTATTTACTGAAGCTATAGAGGCGGCTGAAATATGAAGTGTCCCTCCCCTGAAAATCAGGTACTGTTTCAGTATTTCTCACCAGTCTTTCGTCGTTGGAAGTGTTTTTCCTAGTAATGTGTCCGTCAACGTCAAGGATCCGTGAGACAACCAGAAACTATGAATAGTAATTAGGGCCTGAGATCCACCATAGCTTCACACCTTTTCTCCTTCGTTTGAAACTCAGCCAGGTATGTTTTTTCACCTTTAGAAGCCGTTAAACAGCCTCCTCACAACGACATACAAGTCAAACGCACAGTCATCAGTGCCAAAGTGTGAAAAGCACCCAGTGGGTTTTTCCCTGTCAAGGGGTAAAGTCTCCCTCCGACTCACTGAACGCGAAGAGCTTCGGGATAACGAATGAGGCCAGAAGACTACAATTCCCAGCAGGCATAGCGAGATCGGGTCACGCACGCGCAGCCAGGCCGTGGGAATTAGTCCGCGAAGGGGGTTCTGGGAGGGAAATGGGAGCAGCAGTGCTGCGGCTCGCTGTCGGCAAGCTTCCCGATGGGCCGGCGGCGCTGTGGCGCGCGAGCCGAGCCTACAGCACATCGCAAGCTTTCGCGGAGGTTCTACGGCTGCCACGGAGGCAGCTGACGAAGCTCGTGTTCCCGCTGCAGGAGCTCGAGCGGCAGCTTGTCGCGGACTCTAGGCCCAACCTTCACCTGAAGATCTTCGACCCGGGCCTGGAGGACATCGGGAAGGCGGAGAGCATCTTCACGGCCACTGCGCAGAACCGCATCGAGTACCTCAGCTCCGCCGTGCGTCTCGACCACGCCCCGGACCTCCCCAGACCCGAGGTGCGAGCCCCAGCTGCCAGCGAGTCGTGGAGGCCTCGGCAGGGATCTTGTTATCACCTCTTTCTTGTCATCGAACAAGACATATTTTCGAGTTGTGTGTGGACGCATATATGATTATTATCATCTTTTGCCTGTTTAAATGAAGTATGGAAAACATGCCGCGACAAATTAGACAAAGTGAAGAACCTGAAAAGTATAATAGTTTTACAATGAAGCGATCTTTTCAATATGTAATTTTCTCCCAATCTAAATTTACTACCAAGTGCAAAACTAATTATTATATATAGATGGCAACAATACAGATTTTTTTAAAAACTTCAGTCAAATTTCATGGGTGCATTTTATGCAAGTCATAGTTTGTTCTAAGTTTGCTAAAAAAGGGCACGGATCTTAAATATTTTCTGCACCATTGCAGTAGAAACTTATTCTAGTATGTTGAGAACTGCTGTAATAATTTAAGTAGTCAGAACTCAGTATATAAATCATTTACTAATTTTGAGGTAGCATTGCTTTTCTATTTACACTTCTAAATTGCTGGACTTTTTGTGTAATTTGTTTTTAAAAGTTCAGTTTTATTATTTATGAATTATCATTTATAAATGGCATAACATTTGAAATTTATGCAGGTTTCACCTGACCCCAGTCTTGCAAAATATATCGCATTCCTGGCCCCTGCCCTCTAAATGCCATCCAGTCATTGATAGAAGAAATGCCCTTGTAGTTTTGCAAAACACCTCCTAGAGGGTGGTACCACTTTTAACCACTGGTTGTTACTGTACCCTCTTCCTTTTCAATACTACATTAAAAAACGGGAGTGAGCCATGTATATTAATGGTTAGTATTGGGAACATTTCATTCCTCTTTTAGTTAACAGTTGTATTCCAAGCATACCCTTGGAGTTTGTGGGGATATGTGGCTCTAAACATGTAGTTGTTCTTTAAAGTCAATTTTGTTGAAATGCATCTAGTTTTTAAGTTCAAAAAGCTTTGTACATATAGAATGCTTAATGAATGTTGCAGATATTCTTGAGTAGCATAGTGTAAATAAAAGCACAGGTTCTAGATACAGATATTTTGAGTTCAAATTCCAACTCCTTCACTTTCTAGCTGAATAATTTTGGGGGCAGTTTTTAGCCTCTCTCTGTCTCTAGTTTTACTGTCTGTAAAATGGGAATATTACTATACCTACCTCATGGGAATGTTGTAAAAAGTAAATAGGAAAATATATATTAAGTGCTTTGAACAGTACCTGGCACATTGAAATTATTCAGTAGGTAGTAGCTGTATGTTATAATTTGAGGCTAAGCAAATTTCACATGGCTAAGCAAGACTGAACAGTTTTACAGATATTTGCAGCTAATACAACATAAATATTGTATAAACTAGTACTCAATTATCTTCTTTTCCTTCTGTAAGGTGTGTTTTATAGGTAGAAGCAATGTTGGAAAATCCTCTTTAATAAAAGCTTTATTTTCACTGGCCCCAGAGGTTGAAGTCAGAGTCTCCAAAAAACCGGTATGTTGAAATGTAAAGTATTTTTTTGAATTATGTCTGAATTGACCAAGAGGACTAATAAATGTCAGGCAGTTCAAGAAGTCATAATTACTAAGTTCCTAGAAAAGTGATGTCTTTCAAACAAGTATTTAAAAGACATTTCTTTAATGTTTGTGTATTTCTCTGAAGAAAAGGAAGTGTGTCTGGATTTACTTTAGTAGTCTTGGGGAAATCTATGTTTGTGCAGATCTTTTCCAAGAGCTGACAAATAGTGTTCTATTGTCATTCTATATTTGGTTCTATAATGATCATCTAGTTCTACACCGACTTTAGAGGAAATAACTTTAAAGTTTTTTCTTTCCTCCTATAATCTTTTTATCTTGCTAACATATATATATATATATACCAATCAGAAGGCGCCCAGTTTACCCAGGGCCAAATTTATGTGCTTATTATCTCAGGCCTAAATGCCATCGGACCTTTCTGTCGTTTTCTTCTTTCTCTGCTTCCTTCTCAATGACATAGACTCTACCAATTTCTAAGATGCCCTCTTTTCAAAGTTCACCCCCAAATCCCCTCACATTACCTGTCCATAGCAAAATGTTTCCACCCACCCAGTGCTCACTGCCTCCTTTCTTTGTGTTGGAACACTTCCATGAGGCTTCACTAGTCTCTTGCTTCCCTCCTCTTCACAGAGATGATTCCCTGACACCATCAAGATATTTGATTGTTGTCATTTGTTAATCCTTCTGTCTTTACCCCCAGCCCTATCTCACCATAACCAAGCTAAACTCTCACTTCTAGGTAGGGTGCTTCCTTTCCTACTGTGAGAGGATAATGAAAGAAATGTATTCTTAAAACTCTTAACATGTAACTCTAAAACTAAAATCACTTGCCTATAGGTAGACATATAACCTGATTGGTAACCTAAGCACCATTTATAAAATCTTTCCTTTGAATTACTTTTTTCTAAGTTCCAAACAATTGAGTTTTTAAATTGTTTATATTAATCTTTCCTTCTCTGATTTATGAATGTCTGTGGACACAAAACCATGGAGAAACCACTTTTTTATTATCTTTATATCAATTTTAGTTGCACAGATTATTTTATAGTGTTGTGCATGCCTTTTGAAAAGTGATTTAATGGAAGCACTAAACCCTATCTTTTGAAACCTGCAAAAATCTTGATTTTAGGGAAGCAGTTGTGTAGGTGTAATAAACTATCAGTCTTTGCATCTAGGTTTTATGAAAACCTTTATGACTGTCAGTAAGCATTTAATTTATTTGTGCCAAAATTTATTTTTCTTCAAAATAGAGCTATATTATTCATCAGAGAATATTGACTAATGCAGGGTTGTTTTTTCACTGAGAGAGAGCTAATGAAACAGTAAAAACTCCAAAATATTCTGCCTACATATTTCTAATACAGAATCTAAAGTTCTTAAATCATATAGATTTTTTTTTTTTAATGCAAGGAAGCAGTAGTATCTGAGCTTATCTCTAGCCACTTCCTTTCTGTCTTTTCTTGTATCATTATCATCATAACTAGGATTATAGACCAAGTACTTAGGCTTTTAGTAAGTATTTGTTAATTGAATAGAAAATATTTTGAGCCATGAAATATATAAAGGGCAATTTTAAGAAAGTTCTTTCCATTTACTTTATCAGGGGCATACAAAGAAAATGAATTTTTTCAAAGTTGGAAAATACTTTACATTGGTGGACATGCCAGGCTATGGCTATAGAGCACCTGAAGATTTTGTTGACATGGTAGAGACCTATTTAAAAGAACGAAGGAAGTAAGGAAAAAATTTTCTTACAGTAGTTACATGTTTATTCCAAAAGTGTGTTTTCATCAATAAAGCATTCTATACATGATGAATAATTCAATTTTATCAAATGACTTCTTTTAGAAAGTCTGTTTTATTCTCATAATATTCTACAACACAATGTTTAGAACCAAGGTATGTACTGTTTGCCTAGTTTTTTCCTGTGGGTTAGCTTTAAATTCAAGTATTTTCCTAAATTGAGACTATAAGTAGTACGTAAGCAGAGTTTATTAGTTTTCCATACCAAAGCCTTAGCTGACTAATTTTGAAAATGAAAATTTGCTAGGATATATGTCAGTTAATATGGTATTTACCAGATGTCAATAAACTTCATACATTCCTAAAATACTTCTGACATCACATCCTCTGTAAATGTTACCTTTTTTGTCTTTTATAGGTACTTGAATGGCAGGTCTATGTTCTTAAGCATTGCACGGTGTATAGAAAAATTAATAGTAAACTTTTGAAGTGTAAAAAATGTTTAAAGTATCTTGTGGCTTTACATAGAAACCATAATGAAATATTCACACAAGAAAATATGAAATTGATTTGTTATCTTTTAGTCCTAAAGTAATCTTTGAAAATTTAGACATTTTTATGATAACTTGTAGTTGATTGGTCTCCTATCTCTCCCACCAGAGTTGAAGCTCTGCTCAACTCAAGAGTTGATGAAGGGGCTTACTCATATTTGTATCCAGTCCCAGGCAGTGTCTTATATTCAGTACATGAATAGAATATAATTTTTAGTGAATTTAGTTATTGAAAGTAAAGAGCATTGAGACCTATTATAGTGTAGGTTGGACTTCCTGGTGAATTGAGAATTCCTTTTGCTGAAAGACATCTTAAAATTTTGGATTGAGAATTATTTAAAGGAAGATTTTCTTAGTATAGTGAAGGTTGAGGGGAGAAATGAATGAGTGTATTTTATATTGCCATTCATCTTCATTTCTGCTTTCTTGTAGTTTGATGAGAACATTTTTATTAGTGGATAGTGTTGTTGGAATTCAAAAAACAGACAATATTGCTATAGAAATGTGTGAAGAATTTGCATTACCTTATGTGGTAAGTATTTCTCTTAAATCATGGCTGCAGTTAAAAATACCGGTGTGTGTGTGTGTGTGTGTCGCACGCACAAGCGCATGCATGTGTTTCTTAGTGAGTGAGCAGGTCTTGCCTCCTCAAGATATAAAGGAGTAGCTTTTGAATTATCTTGTCAACTATCAGCCATTAATATTAAAATAAGTTCTGTAGTACTTTCATTCTCTTTTCCTTCTCTGAGTTTTAAGTTTTCAAAATTTATAATCAAAGTTTTTTGAACTGTTTCTTTAGTGTTCCTAAATGCTTTTCTTTTTCATGTTGTTTTTGTTAATGGCAATGTATTTGTCTAAAACACATTAGTAGCTCTTGAAAGGCAGCTTGACAGATAGTACTTGTCAGAATGTAAATAAAATGGCAACTGAAAAATTTGCTAAACTAATTTGGAATTTAAGAGCCATTATACTGACATAGCAGGCTTCAGCCCACACAAACAGGATTTTTATATTCCTAAAACAAACAAAATTTCTTCCAGGAATATCTTACCAGTGTTCTTTCTGTTAATTTGTCCTAGAATAGAATACAGATTAGTAGGTTGGTGTCCACATTTATTTTGCTTTGTGAGTTTTCCAGATAAAATAGTTACTTTCTAAGGACAAGTGAACAACCCATTGACTATAATTTGGTTTCAAAAAATATCAGTACACCACTAAAATGTAAGTTTAATGCAAATCAAACCATGTTACTAGTTAGCAACTTTTTGTGTTCTTGGTGTCATGGAATTCCTAGGGTTTGCAAAAGCCCTGTGAGGCATTAGAGATAACCTTTCAGTTAGTTATGAGGAGCCAAAGGATTGCTAAACATAGTCTACATAGTAAAAAATGCCCAAGTAGTGCCAAATTGGTTTTATTAAGGGGTAGTATTTTTGATTTGGTATCACAGGTACCAGTTCGTGAAATCATATATTTTGCTCAGTTTAAACTTTAAAGAAATATAATTTTTTCTTTGAAAAAGAGGTTGTGATAGAGGAATTATGTCTCTTTAAATGTCAGCATATTTGCTTTATAAGGAAAGACTCCCATTTGAAGGGATTCACATGTCATTGGAAACCACACACTTTGTGCTTCTCCTTTTGCCATTAACATTTTTGATAACAAAAGCATAAATGATTAGTCAGGAATTTAATTTTATAGGCATCCCCCAGGAATACCTGACAGATCAAAGTTTTATTTTTTAATTGATTTTGTACCTATCCCTGACTTGAACTTTCTCTAGTTTGTCATTGTCTTTGAATAAATAAATTATTCAAAGTAATTCTTTACTAGTAAGCCTAGTAAATTCTAGGCTTGCTTGGAATATAACTGTACGTAACTTGGAATATAACTATAGTGGATACAGCCTATATCAAATAGCTTGATTTATAATTTTTCCTTCAGGTTGTTACATATAAGGTAGAACCATTTTGTAGATCAAACATGATTACAAGTTTTGACAATTAATATCGATCAGCTTAATAACACTAATTCATATATCTTAGACCACAAGATATGCAATAGTCATATGGAAGATTTGGCTTAAATGGCGACTGCAAATAGAGCTCCAGGGTCCTTTTCATTTATCTCAAATCCAAGATACTGTGGCCCTATTATCATTAAAGCACCATTAAACAGAAAACACTTAGTATATGCTTCATACATTGTGAACAATAACTCATTTAATCTTCACAGTAACACCTTCAGGGTATATTGCTTTTATTTTATAGATGAGAAATTTGAGAGATGAAGAAATTTGCATGGGTCACCTAGTTGTTATTGAACCTTTGTAGCTACAATGTATAAATGTATTTCTAATGCTTAAGTATTTATTTTCTTACAGATGGTATTAACAAAAATTGACAGATCTTCCAAGGGACATCTTTTGAAACAGGTGCTTCAGATCCAGAAATTTGTTGACACTAAAACCCAAGGATGTTTTCCTCAGTTGTTTCCTGTAAGGTAAGGGATGAACTGTTTCTGTATCTTTATGTACTAACAACCTTTAGTATTAAGTCCGTGTTTCTTAAATTGAGGTGTCATTTAAAATTAGAGGAGTTTGGAAGACTGTTCACTTAGCTATGATTTATTGTCACACCCATCAGCACTTTTATTTTTTCTTCTCTCTATTCTGTCTTCTTTCTGCCTATTTTTAGTGGATCTTCCATGTAGCTATTTTCATTCTTTTTTCAGCTCAGCCTAGCTCAACCCTAGACCACAACAGAAGTAAAAACTTTTTACTTTTTTAAAATCAGCTGAACAGCCATCCCTTTCTCACTTTGAAAGAAAACCAGCTTATGGTAGAATATGCATTCAGGCTGTAAGAGATAAAAATTTTCCTTTGACCAGGTGTAAAGAAATACTTCATATACATTAGAATTAAGCACTGGTTGCACACAGAATGCTTATTTCCTGAACTAGCAAGTTTTGAGACATTAGATGGGTTTGGAAACAAAACACGAGTTTGTACTTACAGTGTATAACTGGGTACAGTAAGTAACCTATACTGTAGCAGAGATACAGTGCCACTCCTTTCTAATTTTCTTTAATTTCTTTGTGAAAGGTACCATAGTGGTTTCTATGAGAGAATAATATTACTAAGTCACACTTAGTTGTATATGAAACTGTCCCGTAGGCAGTCATTTCAGATCGTACCAGTCTAGATCACATTTAAGTTGTTTGTAATAATGAACATGACTGTCAAAATCCCTCTTCATTCACTCCTACAAAAATGCTCTTCTTCTTCAACTTACATTCAAGTACTTACGCTATTCATTTGAAATTTTAAGTTTCAGTTGACTATAAGCTGAATTTGAATTGACGATATAATGGGATTGGGGGAAAAACTGAGTATTTTTCTTGATCTACATGAATAGGATTAGAATGTCCAAAAAAAGCGAATGATCCAGCAATAGTTCCACACTACTATGAGCCATCTGCATCAGACCAATCAAGTTAGACTGTGGCTTGACATTTAGAACTACAGCTATCTGAAAACAGATGGCTTTGGAGAAGGTAATGTCATACATCATTCAAAACACTTAATTGATCTTCGCAGTAAACATACCCCATCTCACAGATGTGGTTACAAGTCAAAGAAGTGAAGTGAATTGCAGAGAGGTATTTCTGGAACAGCAAGAGCCTGGCCTTAGGGTCAGACATCTGTAGTTTTGCATGGTTATTCAACTTGTTGGCTGTAAATTTTAAAGCAACTAATTTCATTTTCTGAGTCTGTTTTTCTCTGTAGTAAAGATGTGATTGCTAGAAGGATTAAATAAAATATATTGTGACTGATATACTCACATTAGCTATATAATAAATGTTAGTTTCCTTCCTTGCCAAAGGTGAAATAGTCAGTAAATGGCAAGGTCAGGTGAATAACCCAGACTGCCAGGTTTCCAGTCCTTTTTAGAGGCATTCCCTTCTTAGATACGCCAGCATTCTCTACCAATGACCCTGGAACTGCTGCTGCCACTGTACTCACTGTAGGTGTACTCACTGTAGGTGACCAGGCACTGCAGAAACCACAGAGCACTCATAGTCAAAGAACTGGGACACAGCATCCTGCTGGCTTTCAAGAACTTGAAAGTTCACTATCCCACTGTGACCACATAAGAGGAAGTTGGCAGGCTGTCCTCAGTAGTTCTCAAAACCCAGTTTAGAAAGTATTTATATATATTCCTTCCTTTGACTTAGATGACCATTTCCCAGTCCATCCTTCCAGAAAGGAGATTGACCTATTCAAAGAATAATTATTATAAAATAAGTCAGGTTTTATTTCCCTCTCTTCCTGTATGGAGAAAGGCAGAAGTGTAATCCAGCAAAGTTTGGCCTTTAAGTCTATAGAAAGCAAAAGTTAAGTGCTAACCTTCATGTCTGAACTCTGCCCCAGCTGAGTAGAGAAGTATAAATGTTGAAAGTCCCCTGAAGATAGCTGCTGGGGTCAGTCTGTTTTTTATAAATGGCATGGAAGAAATATATAAGTAAGCAGTGTAATTGCTTCTATGGTTTTCTGTGTAGTGAAATTGCAAGCAAAAAGAGCACTGACTCTAAGGACAAAGAAAATCATGAGTTAACAGAAATACTGCAAATGAGTTCAAAGTGTCAGAGCATGTGGCCTATCCATTTGGATCTCTCCTTCAAACTATAAATGTATAACTTCAGTAACCCAAGAATCACGGGCTGTTCTCAAGCAAGCACTTTGGTCCACAAGTCTTTATCAAGGGAATTGGCAATACAACAGAAGATATTTTACCTGTTTTATATACAGGTGTACACCATACCTGTAACCATACAAGTCATAGTGTATCCATAAAAGTCCATGTATCCTGAGAAACCATGTGGTCACTCCTATGCTGACAAAAGGATGACTGGATAAATATGGCTGTAGTAAGACAGATAAATAATAGGTACAATAATGGTGACAATGATTTAAAAGACTCATGAAAAGGTCTAAATTGCCAAGGTAATTGAGTTTTGTAACAAAAAGAACTAAAAAGAACTAAAAGATACCAGAACTTTCAGTCTGGAAATAAAAAGCAAAATAGAAGGTATTCCAATGGCACTATTCACAAAAGTGAAACAAACAGTCCTAAAATTTGTATAGAACCACAGAACATCCTGAATAGCCAAAGCAATCTTAAGAAAGAACAACAAAGCTAGAGGCATCACACGCCTTCATTACAAACTATATTACAAAATTATAGGATCAAAACAGTATAGTATTGCATAAAAACAAACACAAAGAGTAATGGACCAGAATAGACAGCCCAGAAATAAAGCCACCAAAGATATTTTCTGCCATATTGTCAATTAATTTATGACAAAAGAGCCAGGAATATATTATGGGGAAAGGACAGTCTCTTCAATAAATGGTGCTCGGAAAACAGGACACCACATGCAAAAGAATGAACGAGAGCATTATTTTGCACCATACACAAAAAGTTAACTAAAAATGTATTAAAGACTTGAATGTAATACCTTAAACTATAAAACTCCTAGAGGAAAACAGGCAGTAAGCTCCTTGACATTGGTCTTGGTGATGATTCTTTGGATTTGACCTCCAAAGCAAAGGCAACAAAAGCAAGAATGGGTAGGTGGGACTAAAAAGCTTCAGCACAGAAACCATCAACAAAATGAAAAGGTAACCTACTGAATGGGAGAAAATATTATCAAATTATATATCTGATAACCACTTAATATTCAAAATGCATGAAGAATTCATAAACTCAATAGCAAAGTAATAGTCTGATTAAAAAATGAACGGAGGATCTGAGTAGACATTTTTCCCAAGAAGATATACAGATAAGTCAATGGATATGTGAAAAAGATACTCAGCATCACTTCTCATCAGGGAAATGCAAATTAAAACCCCACCTGTTAGAATGGCTATTATAAAAAAGACAAGAAATAACAAGTGTTGGCAACCTTGTGGAGAAAAGGGATCCCACGTGCTCGTTGTTAGGAATGTAAATTGCTACAGCCACTATGGAAAACAATATGAAGGGTCCTAAAAAAATTAAAAACAGAACTACCATATGATCCAGCAATTCTGCTGTGGGTGTTTATCTGAAGGAAGTAAAAATACTAATTTGAAAAGATATGTGCACTGCCATGTTCATTTCATTATTTTCAATAGCCAAGATATGGAAACAACCTAACTGGTCCAGTCATGGATAAATAAGTAAGTAGTGGTATATATACGTACAATGGAATGCTATTCAACCATAAAGAAAAAAAATGAAATCTTGGCCATTTATGACAACTTGGATGGGTCTTATGCTAAGTGAACTTAAGTCAAACAGAGAAAGACAATAATGTAAGATCTCACTTACATGTGTTATTTTAAAAACAAAAAACCAAGCTCATAGATAAGAGATCAGTGGTTTCCTGGGAGACAGAAGGTAAGGGGGGGAATAGAATTGGGTGAAGGGGATCAAAAGATAGAAATTTCCAGTTATAAAGTAATTAAGTCATGGAGATATATAGCATGGTGACTATAGTTAATAAGTATGGCATACTTGAAAGTTGCTAAGAGTAGATCTTAAAAGTCCTCATTGCAAGAAAAAAATACTGCAACTATGTATGGTGAAGGATAGTAACTAAACTTACAGTGGTGATCTTTTCACAATATATACAAATATCAAATCATTATGTTGTATACTTGAAACTAATGTTGTATGTAGATAACTCAATTATTTAAAAAAACTTCAAAGTTTGAGAAATAAGAATAGTAGATATGGTGAAATTTTTAGAAGGATTTAGAATAGACTAAATAATGCCAATCATCAGATTTAATACTACAAAAGGCTGGGGGAAGAAAAGAAAGGTAAGACATATTAAAACATGAAACTCACAAGTTTATAAACAGTTTTTAAGTTAGATGAATTCAGATGTTACTACCTCTGATGTAAGGAAGAAAATTATTTTTCTTTTCTTTTCACAGTGCTGTGACCTATTCTGGAATCCATCTGTTGAGATGCTTTATAGCAAATATAACCGGAAACCTTAAGATTAATGACTTCCAAGTTAGCTAAACATTCAAAATTCTTTTTGTTAACTAGGTTTAAACACCTAGAATTTTTTCAACATTTTTTAAGTATTGTGTAGCTGCAACTTGTAGAAGGATCACTTCAGTTGTAAAACCTGGATTTTCCTGAGACAAGAATGAATTTGTGCCTGGGGGGAAAATGGTTTATAAATGATTTAATTATGCTGGGTTTTTTTTAGAACAGCTACCAGCAGTTTTTCCTGTTTAACGAACAAAAGCATATAGAAGTCCATAAAATGAGAACCTGTTTACTACTGGGTAGAGAAGAGTTTGCCATATTATTTATTGGACTTTTGTCTTTTAAAGAAAATGTCTATTGTGTATTTTTCTCCACATATTAAAACAGACCAGGTAAAATGGGCTTACTCCTCTGTTAAGCACTGATAGGGAGGCTGAAGATAAATATAAATGCCCCTTTGTATGCCTATCATTTAACTTTTTTCCCGAGTCCTTATTTGAATAAACAAAAATTATTCTCAATGAAATTCTATTCAGTCCACGCTGGAAACACAAGTCATTTCAGGCTGGGCCAGTCATCTTCAGGTAAACACAGGATTCAGAATCAGAAGACCAGAATTCAAGTTCCAGTTCTAGTATTTACTGTATGTTGGACCTTGGGCAAATTGATTTCTCTGCACTTCATTTGTAACTCCAACCTCACAAGCTGTGAAATGTATGGTATTATATGTGGAAAGGACCAAAGTGTGATCTGCATACTTGTAGAGTGAAGCCAACCCAAGAATGCAGCAAAACTCAGATTTATCACAGACAACATCCTGTCACGGAAGAAATGACATTTTCTTTAGTGAAAGATAAAAAAAACAAAAACTAGTATTAAGTGAGAAAACAGATCTACAAAGGGCAAGAGAAAAAAGTTGATGGGACAGTTTAGAATTGATACATGAAGATTCAGAATGGAAAAATAAAGTGTTACTTTGAATTAAAGTTCAAGGAAAAGATTGTTAAGATGCTAAGCTATTCATGTAAGTGGCTTAGCTTTTCAAAGTGAAGCTAAATGTTAAAGAGGTTATAGCAGTTGCACTGGAGAAAAAAATGAAGGCTTTATTAAAAAAAACCTATGTGGTTTTTTAGAAAATTCAATTTTTAATTTATTTTCAGTTGTTTTATATTTAATAACACTGGTCTATTTTAACCAGCAGTTTTATAGCTAGATTTTTTACATAGGCATTCACAAAATATATGGTGACGGTAGAATTATCTTGGAAGTCATCTTCCTCCTAGTGTTACTTTACTGCTTATCTTAGTATTGGTTCTCTTAAAAGCAAAGCCTGAGACAAAAGCTTGCATGTGGTAGTTGATTTGGGGAGTGATCCCAGGCAACAGGAGTAATGAAACAGAAAGAAGGAAAGCCAATCAAGGATGCATTGAGTGAGACACCACAGGCACTACTAGTGCTTGAGGGACCTTCTGAGGAGTATTATGAAATGTGCCCCTCACTTGTCTTTGAAAAGGGGAGAGGGCTGCCCCATATCCCTCCAAGTTGTACATGCCCTGGTGCTAAGCAGTTCCTGCACTGTGTCAGAAACCAGGAGGCAGGACGTGAGAGGTCCCTGGAGCAGAAGGGAAGTGTAGTTGTCCAGATGCCACATTAGCAGCTGCAGTAAGAAGGCCAAAAGGATTTGAAGTGACATATGGGACATCTCACCACACTGCTCTTCTAAATGACCAGAGTGTTCTAATCCACCAGAAATGATGAAATTGGTATTCACTAGAATGACAGTAGTTTCTAATTTACTAGGTAAGTTATGATATCTTAGATTTCACTTTTAAAATTTAAAACATTAAAATTTGGAAAAATAATATAGAATACTATATTTCTTATAAATATGTAAAAATTATTTTGTGGACATACAATGTAAAAAGATATTTACTGTTTTTCCTGGAGTTGTACAGGAGATGGGAAAAGGGGTTCAAGAAACTAACTCTAACTCCAGTAGAAAAAAAATGATTGGCTTAGTCCAATCCAACCTTTAAAATTTTACCTTCTTAGAAAACTCACTGAACCACTCTGGTTTTTCTGAATGAGGAATAATCTCCACAAAGTCTCTTTCAACTGTAAAAGTTTATTCTGATTCTTAAACAATATGCCACTTCAGAGGAAGGAACCTAAGCCCAGGGAAATTGACTAGTTCAGTGGAGTCATGTGCAAATAAAAGCAGAAGCAAGTCTAGACCTTAAATCTTAGTTAATGGATATTTCTAGACTTGTCATGAATGAGACCTCCTTGGTATTAACCATGTATTAAGGCACTAAGTAGCTACTATCACTTGGAAGCTTGGGGAAATAAAATTGTGTTATATTTATTATAGTTATATTAATAACTTAATATATTAAGTTAGCTAAACCAGAATGATTAGCGAAGCTTCAGGAAAGAAAGCTAAACCAGTGTATCTAACTCTGCACTGGGGGCTGCTTGCATCATACCACCTGGGCTTCTTGTTAAAACTGAGGCTTCTGTCCCCATCCCCTGGTTGTGTTTATCAGTTTCATCTGAAGGATCGGGGAATTTGAATTTTTAAACCCACCAGTTGATTCTAAAAATAGCCTAAATTTTTAGAGCTACTGGTATAGATAAGTGGGAAAATGTGCAGAAAGCACAGAGGGAAAGAACAAGATCAGATAACAGGAAATAAAATGATAGGACAGCTGAAGAAAATGATATACTAACGCACTGTTTTATTTTCCTATAAATCTGTCTATAGCATAAAAGTTAAGGCTACATCCTAGTTAACAAATAAAACCTCATTAACCTAACTCATTAGCTAGAACATCTGAAAAAGACTTCAAACTTCACATCATTATTTGAAAATAAATGACTACCCTCTTGGAACAGTTATACAAGTATCAGATGACAGTATTAGCACCAAATTAAAATTTATAGTCAGCCTCATTCCTGAGTCTAATTGCACCTCCTAGCTTTATTTTTTCGCTTAAGTTTCTCACCTGTTTCTACTTTATTACCCTATTTATTTTATGTATAACCACAAGGCACTGTATATCCTTTTTGAAGAAAATTTATTTGGAATCAATCAGCACCCAAATAAA